ATATCAATTTCCTGATCTTTATTGAAACTACGTCAAATTGCATCTTCCAATTCAAATAAAATAATCTCAAAACTTCCAGGAGCTGGTCACATTTGCCGAGCCAGAGTACAAGCCATCATCATGGCGAAAAAAAACTATGAGAATGAAAAAGATGTATGAGGAAAGCGTGGCAGAATTAAGGGCTAATTTGTAAGCTCTCACCACAGAGTCATATGTTACCATCATTTGTTGTTTCGATCAGAACTAGGATTTGAAGACCACTGTACAAACAACCACCACAGAAAACATAGCAGACCACCTCAAAGAAGCTGCCAGGGAGTTGAAAAAAGGTACAGTAAAAAAATGTGATTCGTGAGTAATTCATAACATGGAGTAATAGAGCTACACACACTTGTTTTCAACCTCGTTTTTTTAGATAGTTTAAAAGGAGATTTGAGGCATGAATACCACAATGTTAGTAATATAATAAGTGCAGGGCTTATGAAGGCAGGGCTTACAGCCGTGTAGCAATACAAGATGATGAATGGAATCTGCTGACTCATTTTTGTTTGGTTAATGCCAGTCATTTAGTGGAATTTGGTTCCCAGTATAATATGTAAATGTAAATAAAAGATAATTGGCTATACAGAGATATGTCAGTAGGTTGAGTTTTTTCTTCAATCTAGGCAATGGGAAAACACAGAGAGTTTCTTGTTTTTCTAACCCTGCTCTCAATTGTAGCTTTTTTCGCTGATACTCTTCTCCAGGGCAGCGTTCAAGGACACAGGAGCAGGAATTGAACCTCTTACCTCCTTGTTATGTGATTGTCTTGCTAACCTATTTCCATTAGACCTTCATGACAAGAAGCTCTCAACGCTTTCCGTGCCTCGACTTTAAATACAAGGCTATACATTTTCTGTCCTGTTTCTCCAAGAGTCCTCCGTTGTGCCTGATTGTACGCCTGTTCTCCTCTCTGCCCCTGTTCAATACATGGGGATCCATCAACTAAGTGAATCCAATAATGGGTAGCAGTGTGGGGAAGGAGGGGGGGGGTTATCAACTCTGTGTATGTGCCTTTTCTTCTCACAGGGGAACAGAGGAAAAATCCTTCTCTTAATTGTTGAGGGAACCTGACGTTCCAAAGCGCCTGCATTGAAAAGCAGCTTTAATTAGAGATGGTTTGAGGCCGGTTTCTTAGCGGGGGTCAGATCTACTGCCAAAGGAGGCACACACACACACAGACACATATATACACTCACAGCATAATGCACAGTACCTGTTCTCAAATGTACACATCCAGCCAGCCTGGGTATCCAACTTAGACATTTCTGATGTATGCTTGCAATCTCTTGAGTAATTTTTATTGATTTGCAGGGAGGAAGTGGCTCTAACAAGCTTCTCCTATGTGATAATCTCCTTTTAGTCGACGAAAGCGGTGATTAGGAGGAGGGGCCCTGCTGCTTTCAACTGTAATTGTGGAGTAATCAATCATCAATCTCCAGGAGCTGCTCTGCAAAACACTCCTGCTCAGATGCTATTTTTGACCACAGCGACAACTAATAAGAGCTGGAGGACAGAAAAAACACAAGACTGCTCCAGAAAAATCTATGCATTTGCTCTCTTAGTGGACCTAAGATAATACCTCATCATCTGACATGCATATAAGAGGCTATAAGAGGCATCATCCTTGTTATTAGACGCTGTTTGCCTCCACTGAGGGTTCAGTCTGAGGTTGAACGCTGCAGCTTCTTTCACAATCACTCGCGAACAGCTGTAATGTTCTTTGATTACCACAAGATGCTGACAACCTCAAAAGTCCCTCAGAGGCTCCAGATTCTGACCCAATTGCTGCACCCCCATGGAGTCACTGGTTTTAGAGATGCTGCTCCGCTCAGCCACCACATGGTTTCACATAACATGCCAAGCATGAAGGCAAAGGCTGTTAGTGCATCCAGCATCCAGCGAGCATGCCTCCGATCACGTTAAAAGCTTTGCAGGATGAGAACATCCGCGTGCATGTCTTTCATAAGAAGAGGATTGTTTGTTCAAAATGTAAAAATCAATACTGTTGCAGAAAATTATGGCTTGAGACATTTTTTTTTGTAAGTGAGGACGTTGTAAATTTGTGAGAGGGGGAACAAGAAGAACAAATCCATCAAAGCCAACATCAAAGCTGAGACGGTTTTCCCTGCTCGGCTCCTGATTGTAGAGATTATGAAGGGAAGATGGAGAATTAGAGAAGATTGTCTGAAGTGATTGGCTGATCTTGCAGAATGACCTCAAGTGCTATTCTGACTCGTTCAGAGAGCAGGACGAATGCATCTCATGTCCTACATCGCGCTGATTAGATTAATAAATCAATCCTCATCCTCACCAGCCCATCGGGTTTCTGCTGGGGCTATTTTTATGAATAAGGGTCACCGAAGACCAGAAAAGTATTTCTGATTATTGACTAATGGAAGTTTGACATGCACTGTTGCAAGATATGAAAACAAATAAAAGGTGTTGTTCGATGATGGTGATTAAAAATGTTGAAAAAAGAAGCCGATGTCTGCCTTTCTTTTTTTACTTTGTACAGAAAAAGAAGTGCAGAAAATTCAGCCGTTTTCAGACAGAACCTCATCTACATATATTCTAATTTATTGCACAGTGTTACACATCAGCTGCCTCCTGGTGTGTGACAAGAACAAGCCCGGACCTTCACCTCTCTCTTGTATTAAGCTGTCAGAGATAAAGCCTTTGTGGTGAGCAGGCTGAAAGGAGAATTTCTGCAGGGTGAGTGATGTTTGAATGATGCTTCAAAAAAAGGGTTTATTTATGCAGATTGTGAAAAACATGGGTGTGTTTTGAAACCACATCACTGTTTGTGGAATTGTCAATAGGATATTATTATTATTTAAAGGATTAAAAATATACCTTAATGGAAAAGAAAAAAAACAAGAGATGTTATTCATAATGCAAATCTGAATTCAATAGAGTTACATACACTTTACTGATGTTTCAACTAAAAGGCCTGTACTTCCTTTTTCATAAACTTGTTCCCATGAATGTTAAGATCTTACATGATCACATGAACATGATTTTTGCCAAATGAGCAATTTCTTCTTTCCCCCTCTATGTTCTCCTCACTGACTCAAATAGGGCGGCACTTAGTCAGAAAGGGGGTGATGTCATCAACCGAGCCAATCAAAATTAAGTAACATTTAAAAAATAATTTGGTAGTTGGTTGATGTAATACAATCACACCATCACAGTCATGCTGAAACAAAAGTAATGCCAGAAAAATCTTTGTTTTGCATTGACTGGTGCATGGATATTTAAGTCGTAGAGAAAGATTTTAAAACAAAGTTTTGGGCACTTTGAAACCCAAGAACACTAGACAGGAATAGAAAAAGACTGAGTCATCAAACAACCCACTGTATGTTGAATTTAATTGTCTTTTCCAAAAGCACACACACACACACACACACACACACACACACACACAGCAGACACTTTGACAAGAGCTATAGAAAAACTTTTGAGTAAATATGTGAAACACAGCAATTAAAACATCTCTGTCTCATGGTGCCGGCTGGATGACTTCCTGGCCAGTCCAAACTAATAGCCTTATTTTCGCTCTGCAAATATGTGAATAGGTTTTCCTCCTCCTAATGAGGGCCAGGATGCATGGTGGATGACCTGTGTCCCCCCTGCACTCATTATAAAAGCACTTGCAAAAGCTGTTACTGATTGTTCACCTGGTAATTATGACGGCCCGGTGACTGATAGGGGAAATCTTGTGCCAGCCGTTCTCCCCTGAAGAGGGCCGGATCCCAGAGCTGCACAGACAACACTTTGGAGGCACATCATTGCTGCACTGAGCTGCCACGCAGTCGTTCATTTGGAAACAGTTATGTCAGGCCTTGGTGCTGTTTTTAGAAGCTTCACTTGTACAGTAAGACACACTGGGCTCAGACTGAACATGAGATCTTGTGCCATAAAACACAGCCAGCGAGGTCCAGGATGAGAGGAGAGGTGATTTCACCTGGAAGCACAACTAATTGAGCCCAGTGAGCTTGCCAAAGGATCAGATTGGTTTAAATGAAACCAACCAGCTCCAGAAGTCATTTTGGATTTTAAGATATTGACAGAAGATACTACCTGATTTCTTATTAGGGTATAAAGAAGATTTGTTTCATATTCACAAGAGATTTTGGGGGGGGGGGGGGGGGGGTGTCATAATTGTCAAAATTGAACAGCTCTAGACATGCTTTGCTCCTGACACAGCATATCTCCTGGTTAGCATGTGAATTGAAAGGCAGCAGGCATCCCTGATTTCATGATGAAGTGATAATTGTAAGAGAAATATTGCAGGAACAACCCCCCCGATTTAGTCTAGCACACAACATCCTGATACTGAGAAGTAAAGAGAAAGGGGGAGGGTGGCAGAGGCGACGGTGGGGGGAGGTATATGTGTGAGAGCTGCTGGTATGTTGTTCATCCCTCCTTATATGTGTGTTTGGGAGACAGGCAGCATGTAAAAGCCTGGGTAACCATGGTGTGGGTGTATTCCTCTGTGGCCCTGATCTCTGTAATATGAGTGAATTCTGCGTTGTGTATCCCCCCCCCAATATCTCATCCAGCTTGTTGTGAGTGTCAGTCAGCAGCTTTCCTGCAGAACTTGTTACTCTGTTAAGATCTCCTCTGTGCAGCATTCACAGGATAAAGCGGGTGCAGTCACCCATGGGATGGATGTGCGGTCATTGGTGGCTGTTAGTGCAGTCCCAGAGGTAAAAGCAGCACACAGGCAGCATTTGTACATGTCCATCTCACATAAAATGTAGAGTAAATAATGTGTAAAAGGAAATGTTTGAAAAGATGTTTTAAGTAGATAAGAAGGTGTGAATTATTTTATTTTCCACTCGATTTTTTTCCCAGCAATTATTACACCCCCCCCATAATAATATTATTGCAAAGACTCAGGAGCCTATTCATTTCTTTTTAGGAGGCAGGAGCTGTCCAGTGTGTTATTTAAGTCATCTTAACATCTTTGGCTGCAGCCTCACACATTTGATCAATTGGAGGAAAAAAAACTGTCAAATCAGGCGATCCTCTTCCCTCCTCCTCCTAAATTGTCTGTCTTTGTAGTACCACTAGGCAACAGTGCGTGCATCATTGGAACAGTGGAAGTGCGCAGGAACCGCGCAGAGAATTCGACGGGAAAGAAGGATCCAAGCAGGCAAACAAAGGATCATCTGGTGGATCTCTACAGCTGAAACATGACAACACAGCCAACATTTCTTTAAGAGATGCCTGAAAAGAGCCTGGCCATCAGCGTCGATGCGCGCAGCCAAAAATGACGACAGTGGGACAGTGATTTCTTCCTCCAGCTCGTCATTTTTTACATACTCATATGCTCGGATGCAACTCTTCTCCTATGTATACACATCACAAAGGAAGGACTGGAAACCAGATCTCCAACACAAGAGCGCACAGACACGTTTCATCCTGGAAACCGTTTCCAGCGATCTATTACGCAGAGATTTTTCTGTTTTATGGGGTCTTAAGGGATTTTGAACTGAACTTTCGCATGAGAACTTACTGTGCGAGTACTGTTTTGAACAGGTCGATACAGCCCCAACCTTCACGGGCGATGAGTAATCCACGACGCAGCAACTGATAAACCTGTAAAACCTGGACTGCTACTGGCGCGTTTGGATACCTCATCCTGTGCGTCTTTCTTTTTTCATTCATATGGCTTCTATCATCGAGGTTTGTAAAGAACTGATCCATTATTGATGTTTCATGGCTGTAAGGTGTAGCAATAGTAGTGTGTGGCGAAAGAGGACAGTGCAAGACTAACTGGTGGCGAAGACAGCACACTTTTTTATCGCCTTATTTCCAAAAGGGGAGACATTGCGCACGGGCACTGCAGCAACTACAAGCCACGCTGTTTTTATTTTTCATCATTGAATCCTTCGTTATTCCTTTCGCTGCTGTCATCGTAGTATGTCTGCACTTCGAAAGAAATTTGGGGACGATTATCAGGTAGTGACCACCTCATCTAGCGGGTCTGGATTCAACCAGCCTCCCCCGGAGAAAAAGAGGAAGAGGCAGCGCTTCGTGGACAAGAACGGGCGATGTAACGTCCAGCATGGGAACCTGGGTGGTGAAACCAGCAGATACCTCTCAGACTTATTCACAACACTCGTAGATTTGAAATGGCGCTGGAATCTGTTTATTTTCATCCTCACCTACACGGTGGCTTGGCTCTTCATGGCCTCTATGTGGTGGTTAATCGCGTACATCAGAGGAGACCTCAACAGAGCACACAACGACAAGTACACTCCATGTGTGGCCAACGTGTACAACTTTCCCTCAGCCTTCCTCTTCTTCATAGAGACCGAGGCCACCATAGGGTATGGGTACAGATACATCACAGACAAATGCCCCGAGGGGATCATTCTCTTTCTTTTTCAGTCGATCCTCGGATCGATCGTCGATGCCTTTCTGATCGGCTGCATGTTCATCAAGATGTCTCAGCCCAAGAAAAGGGCCGAGACTCTGATGTTCAGTGAACATGCGGTGATCTCTATGCGAGATGGAAAACTAACTCTCATGTTCAGGGTCGGCAACCTGCGTAACAGCCATATGGTGTCTGCACAGATCCGCTGCAAATTGCTCAAAGTAAGTGATGCTACTTTTAGTCAAGAGGGATCCAGTATTTGAGTCCTGTACGTATTGTTTATTAACTAGGATCATGTGTTAATAAGATTTGAGGAATTGCCTACACCCTGACATTTACAGTAAGCCTCCCCATTACTGTACATGAACCCTCTGAAATATTCTAGACAAAGACCACAAATAACCACAACACCATCAGCAATTCTTGGCCATAGCTAGGGCACAGAAAGCCTATTTCCCTTTTTCAAAAATTACATATTTTGCAGTCATAACAGAGGAACAATAATCTGCCCCAAGTTTTCCAAGAGGCCTTTCCCTAAATAACTTCTCTCCATGTCAAACCTTGGGGGAAATGAGGTCATACTCTCGTTTAAAACATGTTCAAAGTGGTAATGTGTTACACCTCAGTGTAAAGCTGCTATCATCCTTCATTAGGAGAACGTCATCTATGGATTTCCCTTCTGAACATCTTGGCTTCACCAGTGTAAAAACAAATGCTCTACAATCCTAAAGCAAGTCCACAAACGAGCATGGCAATCTTTAGGAATGGTCAATGAGATTAAATGTAAGGTTTAATAAGGTTTAAGGTAAGTCCAATCTCAGTAAGTTTATCCAAAGCCTTACTGCTTTTGTATCCATTTTAGCACGTTATTAAAACTGCTTTTTAAATGGAGACGAATAAGCTTAGTTGTTCTTAGCTTCCGTGAAAAGCAGGTGAGTGTTAGGCAGATAATTCAAACAGTATCAAATCATTTAAACCATCTTGTGATCTTGGTGGTAGTTAAATCAAATGTGGGCTGGATAAAGTAAATCCTCTATATGTCATTTAAGAAAATAACAGAAATGATCCAGTAGACTGCTTGACAGTCGCCCTGATTGCACCTAAAACATTAGATTTCTTTTTTTTTTAAGTCACCACAAACCTCTTAATGAGCTGCACATAAGTCTGTCTTTACCCCCCTTTTTTTCCCGCACCAAGCATCTCTGTCTCTTCCCGTACGCTTCCCTAGTCTCGCCAGACGCCCGAGGGCGAGTTTCTTCCGTTGGATCAGTTGGAGTTGGACGTGGGTTTCAGTACCGGGGCAGACCAGCTCTTCCTCGTCTCACCGCTCACGATCTGCCATGTGATCGACACCAAAAGCCCTTTCTACGAACTCTCCCAGAGGTCCATGCAAACAGAGCAGTTTGAAATCGTGGTGATACTTGAAGGAATAGTGGAGACGACGGGTGAGTAAAAGCACACCTTTAGAGGCCTGCCTTTGGAAATGAGGGCTTTTTTTACTGCATGAGGCTCAAAGTACATCAGCCGAGGATGTTGCATTGTCTTCACTGTGTTTTTGTAGGTGTTGCATTGTCTTTTTCTAGAACAAATCTCGTGAATAATACTCGCAGCTCCCCCAAAGGTGTCAACAGCTGACATATTTAAGGACTCACTGTTGACCTCTTGATTGCATCTCATTGATTTTTTGCTCCTGAAGCAACTTACAGTGCAGCTAATAATAGCCGTGCTTAACATTCATACATAATAGATGATTGACTCTGTCTTGAAGGCATAAGGAGGAACACTTGAAGCATTAGAAGGTATTTCTTGATTTTGGAGAAGTTTAGCCAAGTTTCACATAAAAAACCCAGCAGGTCAATTTTGGGCAATAAACACTTTCTTTTTCCTATCTAAAAAAAAAAAAATCCATTCTCTGCCTTTGTGCCCGCACAGCACTTACTTCGGGGCTGCTTTTCTCACAGGGGGGATAAGAATTTGCTTTTGAATAAGGGATTTCCATTTTCACAAGATGAGTAATGCCCCGAGTAAAAATTCTCCACTGTGGTCATTTTAAATTCAAACCGTTTATTTGACACAGCTGATGTAGTGTGAGGGGAGAGCTCTTTTTTCAGTGCTACAGGGCTTAATAGTTGTAATAGGATGGCTGAGAGAAAACAACATATGGGAGATGTGACAGCCCTCCACTGTAGACCGCAATTAGCTGATAGTTAGTGTTGTGTTTGAAAGTCTCTTCGCAGCTGAGACTATTCAACATCTCTGCAGTTTGAGACATGCAGCATTCTTGTTGTGTTGTTTGGATTGGATTTTACGCGTTCCAAAGACAAATTGCCCATGTAAGGCGTCACAATTTGAAGTAGCAGTTCAGCGTGGCTTAATGTGTCCCAAAATATAGCATACTATACTGTTGGAGAACATGATTTATTCTCATCTAATTCTGGTGTAAAGTTGATCTAAATTTTACAGTTTTAATGAGAGTAATTATGCAGCTAACACATAAGTGCACAAGCTGCTCTGGGTTAGGATATGACTCTATTTATTGATATAATATCATGTATTTATAGTATTATATAACGGCTGCCATAGAAGTGTCTAACAGTCAAAATCTCAGTTTTTACTACCCTGCTTTGGGATTGTCCGGCTCTTGTTTTCACCTCACAGAAATGTCTGCATCGAGGAGCACTTGAGCGTATGTGAAGCCAGTTCCTGAAGGCTGATGTAGGAACAATCTATGGTTAAACATTTATGTACAGTGAAAGTCTAAATCCTCAGACGCTTTCATTTCTGGCCAATGTAACTCTGTTTCCATGGCAACCTCTCCTTGAGTATTCAGGATTGCAGCACTGCACCTAAACTTAGATTCTTTTTTTTTTCTTTTTATTCCTATGGTATAGGGATCATAACACAATCATAACACCCTTTCTGCAATAAAAGCAAGGCAAACATGTGATGCCAAACATGAAATGAAATTGCTTTTTTTTTTGCTGACAGCATCACCTGCTAATACAGAGGATCTAGAAACGCACACAGAGTTCTTACTGTACGAGGAAAGTGTTGGCCGGAACAGGTAATACAGCAGAGAAAGAATAAGATGAAATATTAATGAAGCTTGTTGTTTACTAGTGAGGATGATGCCCAACTCCCTCGATCTCTTTTTTTTTTCATTTGTTATGCGTGGAAAAAAAAAAGTCTGGAACATGAGTTAAAACACTCTCTGCTGCAGATTAAAGCTTGCACAATCTTTATCCCTACTACCAGATTATAGAAAACACACAAAGGTGTAACATTCTTGGCATTGTTACCTTTTGTTCCCTTAGATCACACAGCTTTTATTTTGGTCTAACCGAAGTTCCTTCTACACACAAAAACAAGTAAGTGAATTCTGGAAGATATCACGCAGGAGCCCGGGTTTGTTCCATTAAGCTGTAACCTCTGACAACCTCTCCGTCGTATAAACAGACACGAGCCATTCCTCATTCCTTTTGAAAAGGAGCCCAAAGGTGTTTTTTTGATCACCACCTCAGTACGATGCATGTTCCAAATGAGACATGTAGGATGTCTGGTAGCAGCATATTTTTCTCCTGGAGTTGTGCCAGTTGTGGCTCTGTGGTATCGAGTTGCTTTTCTAACACGGCTGTGCCAAGTTGATGTGCTGCTGAGGATAAATTGGGTTTACATCACGTTGCAATTAATGTAGTGTACATGCTGTCTGAAACACAAGCTAGCTGTGTTGGGAAAAAACACAAACAAGAAGGGTGTTGTAACAAGTTTTGGTTGAGTTAACAATAAGAACAGAGATAACATTTTGACACAATAACAACCAATACATGTCACAGATCTCATCACTCCACAACAAGGATCTTCTTGTGAGGTGCTAACGTGTCATCGGCCACAGAGAAGATCTGCATGTCAGGCTCTGTGTGAGCAATTCATCCCCCTGTTATTATTGTTGTTGATGTGAATCGCAGCACAATAACACAGAGCCGAGTTACATCTGCAAGATTTGTGAAGTGCAGGAGTGACAGGTGTTTGGATTACAAAAGAGGATTTTAATAGTGTTAATATGAAGAACAGGAAATGACTGGAGCCAGGTGGTATTGGTCATGGATAGTGCTAATGCCAATTAATAACAATAATTACACATTTAAAACTTAAGATCATTTTATTTATTATTTTATCCATTTTAATTTTCAATTGTATTTCTTGTAATTCTTTTAATAGCATTATTTCTCCTCAATATCTGTCATTACTCTTTTGGCTTTTTTTTTTTTTTCATTGTTTTTATTGTTGTTATCTGTTTGTGTTGATTTCTTATTTTTTCTGTTTTATTCCTTTTACCACTTCTATTTCTTGTGTATACTTAATTTTTTTACTTCTTTTTGCTTTAGCTGTTTGTACTTTGTACTAAAACTTCACCATCATTCTTATCTCTTATCATTTTTATTTATATCTCTTTAGATTTCTCTTATCTTATTTTGTAGCTTCTACCCACTTTTATTGTTTTTTTTTAATCTCTTATTATTATTATTTTTTCTCATTGTCTTTATCTCTTTTAATTGCTTATATCTTCTTACATCTTTGGCCCTCTTGGTCTCAATTTGTGTAGCTGGGTTCCTGTGTTTCCTGCGTTCTGATGATGTTTGGGTCAAAGATGTTTTTTTTTTGTTGTTGTTGCTCTTCCATCACTGTTGTTTCGTTGTTGTTGTTGTTGAGGTGCCTCTGCTGTTGTTATGTTGTCTCTGTTGTTGTGCTTGTTTGGCTTCTTACGCTTTGTTCTGTTTACCTCTGCATGCGTCAAAACACTTTGTAAAGCCTTGTTTTCTCAAAAGAGCTTAACAAATAAAGTTATTATCATTATTGTTATTATCAGCACTGAGCTGTGACACAACTATGTACCAATTAGATTTGCAGTTGAACAAGTCCGCAATGCAGTAGCATCTGTTCAGTTGCAATCTGGTAGTCTGCTGAACAAACTGATCACTGTTTGTGTTCTGTGATCTCGATGTTGTTTCTTTGAATGATTAGTTCATGTACACGTATCTCTGCACATGTAGCTGCTACTCGTTTACAACAGGGAGCGTACATTTTTAAAGAAAAGTAAAGTTGCCCCGAGAAAGTACACTTTTATTTAGAACTATAATGGTCTACTCATCTGATCTGACCTGTGGCAAAACATGACTCAGCAAAATAACATGCTCATTGACGAGTTTATTTGGTTGCTCAGCCGTTAACGGTATAATATACAATTTTACGTTCCTTTCACTATGGTCACCTTCAGGCATTCAACAAACTTAACCTTGGTATTAAAATTCGACAAGGTTAAGCCGTCTTATTCTTACTCATGTACACATAATCAAATACCTAACTTGTCCCCTAATGTTAACCAAAGTGCTGCTGTTGCCAAATAGAAGTTTAACTTAGGGTAGTGTCACTGTTGAATATTCTCCCAGCTGTGTTTTAAAATCAAAGAAATGGAAGAGAACATAGCTGGGTCAATTTGAACACCTTTAAAAATTGTTTGCAATACGTGTGGATTCACCTTTTGCTGCTCCAAGCTACCTGAATGTGACCATTTCTGATTTACCTTCACGACAACAGGAAACTCTCAATGCTGATTGGCTTTCACCAAAGTTGCCACCTAAGTTTCTTGCTAGTGTTTTTTTTAATTTTTCCTCTAGCGTCATCCCTATGATCTTGTCGTTTACATTTACTTTGTAGGTTACGTGTACAGCACATCATTTTCAGCTTTATTCAACTATGTTTCCTTATGTCTCATTCAGCGGTAAAAAAAAAAACACCGAACATTATCATATTGAATATTGATGTAATGGATCACAAATCTAACGGCTCGGATCTGATCACAGATTTTTTTTTATCACGTTCTGGGTTTTTTTTCAGGATAAACAAACCTTCCCCTCAGCCAGCCATGACTCAAACTGCATTTTAACAGCACTACAAATCAAAATGCATCTCAATGAATCTTGATAATGTACCTCACACTCAATTTTTTTCACCATATAGGCCTACACATTGATACTTTTCTAATAATAATAAAACAAGCAGTTAGATAAACCTGAACTCAGTTATTATTTAGAAAGTGCTTTAACAATCTGAGAACAAAGACTGTTATGTAAAAAGCTGCATCATCTCAACAACAGTAATCGTTATCCCCCATCAGGGACAACAACTTTAAAAAGAATACATTGAAATCTTTTTGTTATCTTTGTTTCTTGTTTGAGCTTTGACAGTGTTGAATACGTAACATAAACACACTGTTTATTACGCTGATGTGTGTTTCTGGACAGGCGGCTCTTGCAGCTGCAAACAGGAAGCGTGTATTTAGAGACTATAGCGCCAGTTTTTGGACCGAACACAGGGCTCTGTAATAGAGCTTGTTTGGCTAAATATAAAGCTACTACAGCTGTAACATTAATAACATTAAGCTAGT